CAAATGAATGCAAGATAAGAACCAATGTGTCCAAAGCTTCAACACAGATAAGAGAAAACAAATAACTTAGTAAAATCATAAGCTCATGACCAAGTAGACTTACAATGTCAAGAATGTACTGAATATGTACCATACAAGGACTAAGAACAGTGTCTTCAGCACATCAGCTACGGAAACAACATTCTTTGACTTTGTTTGTGATGCACCGTGGTGGTCCAGATGAGTAGATCCTTCCCCGTGCACATTTGAATATGTTTGATTACTTCTAGAACCGTTCTCCACATCAAACGGAACATATCTATCTTTTCCATTCGTAGTAGATGCAACAGCCAAATCACCACCACCCTTCATCCTCGACTTAAAGTTGTAATTTTGTGTATCTACGTCTACAGATCCATTTCCTATACCGGTTTGATTCACGAGAGGCAGTTCAAAGTCAAAGTCGCCACTGAGTGTATCAGCATTCCCTAGCTCAGCTGAATGGATGGTGTCATTATCATCACACCAGCCTGAGAAAGAAGGCGCCCTACGAAAGTTGTCACTTGCACTCTGTTCAACCTTCTCTATAGTCAATTCACTCTCTAACATCTCCTTTTTCCTCCACAATCAAAACCATCTTTCTCCCATTGACAACCAAGCTTATACGCCTAGTCGTCTATATAGCACTATATTTCCAATTATCTTGACCAGACTAATTGTAGTGAACCCTTTAGAACTTCAAATTGACACTATTAGTTCTTATAAACACACCTACTAAGCAATTGAAACCAGCACTGAGCTCTCGAATCCAATTAACTAGAGACCAATATAAGTTCAACAATCTGCATTAAAGCAACTTAAAACTTCACTCAAATTTCACCAAAAGAAACGGTAAAAATCACAACTTAGAATCCAATCGAATCAAAATTTCATGAGAAGGGGGAAAAACAAAAGAACCCCATTTCTATAGCAGATCATAAAAAACAAAAGAAGGGTGAATCTATCAAAAAGAGTAACCGCTATTGAAGAATCAAGAAAGCAACTATTAAAATCATGGAGAAAAGATAAACTAAAACTGAGATGAGCTTCACTGGTAAGCAAAATAAATTCAACAATCTGACATTAACTTGAAATTTAACTCAAATCCAATAACAAGAATTAAGGATATCTGCCAAAATTTCACAAAAAGAAACAATAAAATCACAACTTTTGTATCCTATTGAATCAAATTTTCAAGAAAATGGTAAAGCAAAAGAACCCCATTTCCCATTTCTATAGCAGGTTGAAAAAACCCCAAAAGAAGGTTTAATCATAAGAGTAACTGCATTCAAAGAATCAAGAAAGCAAATTCTAAAAGCATCGAGAAAAGATAAACTAAAACCGAGCTGAGCTTCACTGGTGGCCAAAATAAGTTCAACAATCAGCATTACAGCAACTTGAAATTCAACTCAAATCCCAGAACAACAATTAAGCAAATCTCCCAAAACCCAACCCCAAAAAAAAAATCACAACTTTGAATCCTATGGAATCATATTTTCAACAAAAGGGGTAAAACAAAAGAACCCCATTTCTATTACAGTTCTATAGATTCTAAAAAACCCAAAAGAAGGTTGAATCAATCAATAAGAGTTGATGCAATTGAATAATCAAGAAAGCAACTACTAAAAGCATTGATAAAAGATAAAATTAAAACTGACCTGAGCTTGTTTGAGTTGATAGATTCAAATGGTGTAGAAGAGAACAAAGCATAGAAGATCTGATCTACCAATTCCTTCGAGTTTAAAGAAGAAAAAAGGTTATTGTCGCCTGTTAGATGGGTAAAATTGAAGGAAAATAAACTAATGCCGACAGCTTACAATTAGTTGAATTTTTGTATACTTTTATAGAAAATGTTACTCTTTATATCAATTTGTTTATATTTTGACTTGTCGTGAAATTTAAAAAATAGGTATTTTTATTAAGGAGGTACGAGAGATTGGATATAATAATCACAAGAGAGGTAGTGGTTGGTCAAAAAAGTATCGAAAAGAGATTTTTAACAATATACAATACAATTTCAAATTACGAAAGACATGACCGTAGATAAGAGGGTGTCGAGTTTACCATAATAGAGGTTTACTTGTATTTTTTTTGTAGTGTGTCTTTGCTTTTAATTTCACCTATCACTTAGCTTGTTGTTGATTGTGTTTAGTTAGTGCATCATTCTATAACTATTATTATTTCTTTTATAAGTTGTTTTGTTTCTCCATTGTCGTTAAAAATTTACATGTGGAATATGTCTTTTTACATATCTAATTTTGATATATTGAACTCGAGTTGAGAATCCTTCGGACATAGCTTATTCACCTTCGCGAGGTAAAGGTATGATTGGTACAGACTCTATACTTTACATACCTCATTTATGAAATTTCATTAAAATCGTTATTGACATTGTTGTATGATCAGACACAATATTTTAAACAAAAGAAAAATAATATTAAATGATATCGAATAAATGTAAAGTGAGGATGATAACCTTAGCTAGTCGTCAAATAAGAAAATTTAACATTCTTTTAGAGATTAATTACAAAGAAAAAATTATCATATAAATTGAAACAGATAATAAATTTTAACTCGTATAATCTCAAATGATAAGTATATATGACATGTCATAATGTATTTTACTTGTAATCTTTTAATAATATAATATATAGAAGATAAAATTAAAAAGTTGCATAAAAAACATTTTTTTAAAAAAATGGATTAACAAATAAATAAGATTAACAAATAAATAAGATAAATATTAGTAAAATCTAAGATATGATTGGCACCAAATTTTTAGGTTGCTAGATCTCTACTTCTTCTCCCGCGAGATCTCTAGTTTTATGACTAAGACGTGCCAACATCTGTTCCAGGTGGCATGGTTCGATATGATACGATATTGAAAATTTTGATTTTTTATATGATATTTTAGTAGTATATATAAAAGTATGCATGTGTATATATAGGGGTGGATTTACATGAAATTTATCGGGTGTTCGAGTATTGACTAATTTCGTTACGAAATATATATATATTTATGCAGAAATTAAGATATATTTGAATAAAATTAACATAGAGGATTCAATAATTAAAAGAATAATTGTACGAAGAGCAAACTATTAATTCAATTTAAATGTTAAGTTCATAGTTTATTTTATTTGTAATTTGCAGCAAATATCTCATTTTTTTGCTATCTGATTTGATATACAATTTCATTTTTGATATACAATTACACATTCGATATACAAATGTATAAAATGTATTTGTGTTTGTAAAACGCGAGAAAAGTGTATATATATAAAGATACACTACATATATTTTTTTCGTATACACTTATAGTATACAATACGGATCTTATTATACAAATTACAATGTAAATAAATTTATACAAAACTAAACAGTTTGTATAAAAGTGGATCTGTATCTAGCGAATTATAAAAACTTGTTACGTGGCGCAATTATGTGAACAATAGTTATAACATACAAATATGATTTTTATGTTTACAATATGTGAAAGTTGTTTATGATTAAACGATCTTATTGGCCCATTGGCTCTTGGGTGGATACGTTAGAGTCTTTAGGAATTGTTAAAACATGTCCGAATCTCATTGCTAATATATAATAAAGTTCAAGAAAAGTCTAAAATAGTCTCTCATTTTTAGATTTATGACTCAAAGTTATTCTTTTGTTTTTACATGGAACACTTATAGTCCCTCATACTTATATTATTAGAGCAATTTTGGTCCTCCTTCAAAATTTTTGTCTTTTTTAAACAATGATTTTGTCTACAAATTTATATATGAAATGCCATCTTCTTATAGATTAGTAAAAATAATTACTCTATGTGAGAGCAAGTGAAGAAAAAATATTTTATTTTGTTTCGTGAAAATATTACTATAATTAACTAAATATATATCTTTGGTTCTGTAAACTACATTAATTTATTACTGATATATGATATTGCGAGAAAAGAAACTTTATATTAGTACAACGTCATATTTCATCAATAAATTAATACAGTTTAACAAACAAATATAGATTCTTAATTTAGTTTCAAAATTATTTATACCAAATAGAATAAATTGTTCTTTTCTCAGCTTCTCTTACATGGTGTTATTATTTTTTTTAAAATATAAAAAAAGATGATTGAACATTTCAAATATAAGATTTCATATAAAAACAATGTTAAAAAATAAGTAAAATTTAGGAGAGAATTAAAAGTGAATCAATATTACAAACATAAAAATCATCAGTATTCTATTTTAAAATTCAAGAATATCTTTAAGATTTTAACCGACTATTTTTTTAAAAAAAAGGTCAATTGAGTCCTTAAACAAACTTCTTTACAATTTTGACCAGAAAAATATGACCCCAGGAAAATTAATAAATTTTAATTATATATCAATTAATTATTAAAAGAAAAAGTAGTCATTTATCAGATAAATTAATAATTTAAATTTCTGATATGATAAGTTATATATGTATATTATATTTCTTGTATTAATGGTATTCTTGTAATAACTGCTTTGACTCCCAATAAATGAGTCATTTGCATATAGCAGCCGCTCACGAATATTGACATAAAAAAGACAATGACCATTAATTTAATGGTTTAAATTTTTTTTATTTTTTTTTTAAAAAGAAAAAGTTTAAAAAATTGGTGCAAACATTTTTGTGGAACCAAGAAGACTTTTATTATTGTAAATGATTTTAAACAAATATAATTTATAAAAATATTTGACAAATTTGTCTAAAACCATAAGTTTCTTTATCTTGTAATTATATGTTTGATTTGCTTAGGAAATTGTTTCGACAATTCTTTTGGCATAACTCTAATTTGCTTGTGTAGAAGGTCAATAAGTTGTATTACTTTTCAATAATATTAATATTCTTTATATTCCTTAGATAATAAGATCTTAGTCTACTATAAATGTGTCTCTAAAATTTCGAACATAGGTTGAGGGGATACTTGTGCATTATCCCTTAAACTTGAAACAAAGTTAAGCTTTAACTCAATATTGTTCAATATCACTAATCCTCTTATCAAAAATATAGATGAGTACCTTACTATAACTCTGATAATTACAAGCAAAGTCTACACTAAAAGTTCCACATAAAGTGGTGTACTTTAACATCTAACTTCTAGTGAATGATCTCAGTATTACAACAACAAACCAACAAGTGCTCTAATGTGACATATCTGATCATCAAAACTAGAAGAAAAAAAAAAACAACAATAGCTATAAAATGTCAAATACTGAATCAACTCAGCTTCCTGTTGCTGGACTACTAAGATGTCCCATTCTTTCAGCAAGATTTTCTAAATTAACTCCGCGATTCCACCAATATCTATGGCTATCCCCTAATCTAATATCACGCGTTGATTCGTTTATCCCTTTGTTCTCAACTTGTTGTGGCTCAGTGCAACCAGGCGTCTCTGTTAAGAACTGTTGCCAAAATACATCATTACCCGAGTTTGATACTAATTCAGATGTTTTACTGGTCTTACACTCAATCTGATTATCAGATGGCTTAAGTTGACGTTCTAAATTTTCATAAGTTGATGACATGACAGGATTCAATGGCCCTAACTCGGAGGAGGATGGTGAATGATCGATGGGAGAGTTTCGTTTGGCAGAATCATTAGATGATGTATGTGTAACAATTGGGGAATGTGTATGCTCGAAATCTTGTGTTTGAACACCATACAGAAACCGCTCCCAAAAATTGATTGATGAATCCAACTTTTTAACCATTTCCAAGTCGAATTTTGGTGAGTTTTCCTCGTCAATCAAGTAATTTGATATCAACAATCGTCTCTTCCTGCTCGCGCTTTGAGTGAAATCAGATGAAAATCCAGGTGTTTGTAGTAATTGAGCTAAAAGAGAAATCAATTTCCCCTGTCTATGAGCAACGTTCTGTAAACGTTGCTCCATAGACTTAATTCCACTTTCGTACTCCCCATTGAATTTCAATTGATTCTCCGCAGACGACTGAAGAAGACTGTTTTCTCTCTTCAACCTCTCGATTTCATCTTCATACTCCTGTCTCTCAGAATCCGTCAATGGAGCTACAGATTGCCCTGTTCCTGCTGCAGCAGAGTGGCTATGGATCGGCTTTCGTCTATAAATATTCTTCAACAAATGTCTACGTCCTCTTAAAAAATCCTCGTTCGCAAACTCCCATTGTTCAGGATCAACCTTTCTAAACCCCTAATAGAAATAAATGAATATCGTCAAATAACAAAACACAATTGGTGATGATTCGATAGAGATATTTTTACGAAATAATTTTACTTACATAAGTATTAAGTTGTCTGATAAAACTTGAGAAATTGTTATGCTTAAAGTATTTCGGAAGCAAATCTCTAGCGAATTCAGGTGGATTCCAAACAACGAAGCTACGTCCGTTATGGCTCCATGAAACAACTGGATTAGTATACGAATCATCAACCAGTTCATAAGTTTTCAACAAAAAAGGCGCCGGAGAAGAAGAACTTGATCCTCCATTACAGTTATCCATGACTATGCACACTCATATACTACTTTTAACGATTCTAATGTGAATTGCGAAGATTATTATACTTTGAGTTTTCAATGAGAAAGGGGAAGAAAAATGATCAGGATATTGAAAAGGAGATAATTTATTTATAAAAAAAAAAAAGGAGAAATACAGTGTTTCTTCATTATTCAGCTTGACTGTGAGAGAGGGTAGACGACTTGGACTTTGAATGTGGATTGTTGAACAAGTTGGAGGAGAGTGGAAAATTTTTAGTTTGTGTATTTCCCATTTTGTCCTAAGTATATATAAAATATATTAGTTTTTCGAGATTTAAATTATATATATATATATGAAAAAGGAATTAGTAATTTTTTCTACAAATTTTAAATACTTAATCTTAATTTCTTTTCTTTAAAAAAAGTAAATTATTCTAAGGAGATTCGTTAAATTTACCATTGAGAAGAAATAAATCAGAATAATTGTCAGAGCATTTTTTTACTATCTTTGTTTCGAATTATTTGTTTTTCTTTTCTTTTTAGTACGTTCAAAAAGAATGTTTTATTCTTCTTCACGTTTTGATATATATCTTTTAATTTTAACTTTCACATGATATGTTTAAAGTAGTTTTTGATTTTAAAAATGTTGAAAGTGTTTTAAAGACTTTTAAACACTTATTTTTATGCCAAAGAAAATATTAAAATAAATTAGAAATCAAAAGTAAAATACGAATAAGTAACATTGTAATATGTTCTATAGATTTTTAGCTTAAAATTATATAATTCTTTTAGAAAAAGGTTAAATTAAAATTAGATAAATAAATAAAAAAAAACAAAAAAATTACTATGTGATGGAATATTCAACGGTCTTTTAGTTAATTTTTTCTTTTGACTATAATTTGGTTCGTTTTCAGCGTTCAAGTTTGAAGAGATAATTATTAATAAAGAGAGAGTATGAATAGTGAAGTCAGAGGTATCAATTATTATTATTTATGACTTCTTCTATTTTCTTTATATTTTATTTAATTAAAACAGAGGCTGCCATTTTGACTGGCTGTTTTTTCTGTTTCCCTTTTAACAATTGTTTATTAATATATAATATTATTTTTATTTATTATCAATAGAGTGTACTACCCCACTTCTCATAATAAAAACATTTGTTTAATTTCATGAAGATCTGAATTTAACTTGTTTATATCTCAATCATTATTTATTTATTTCATAGAAGAGACCCCAATACTTATTCATAATCATCTGAGAAATGAAATATAATTTATAAGGCGTAATACATAAATATGTCATTTTATTATATTTTTACTTTTGAAGTAGTACAAGTAGACTTTTAAATTTGCCAAGAGTTAAAATAACTGGACGTACATTTATGAATATTCACGAAGAAATCATCGTAGTTCGAGAAATTCGTCATAAACAATCTTAAATTAAGAGAGAAATAATTATACCAGCTATTTATCGATAAGATATTCATATTTTTTCAAAAATAAAATAAAATATTAGACACATACGTCTTACGTGATAGTTCACATCATACACGATATTTTATGTCAAGTTCTACGTGTATTAAACGTGTTTCTACTGTCTATTTATTCAACATTATATAAATTTAAATGTCTATTAGTGTATACTAAAAAATGAAGAGCATAAATGTCAAATAAGACCAAGTTAACAAATATACTCATAATATATAAATGTGTCGTTCAACTTAGTTTTAGTTGACATCACTACAACAAAAATAACTTTTAGCGGCATTAAATATTGTCATTAATAAAGAGTGCTAAAGTCTTTACCTATATTAATTAAGTGTCATTAGAATCAATATCGCTAAAGGCTTTAGGGACATATATAAAGAGTATCAATTGCCGCTAAAAATACATATTTAGTGACAATTAAGAATTAATTGTCGCTAATGATCATTTTTGTTATAGTGCATTTATGTCCTCTAATTTTAAGTAGGCACAAGTTGACACTTAAAATCGTACAAAATTGAAAAAATAAATATATTCTTCTTGCATAGAGTCCTACATAACAAATTTTGTTTTAAGTGGCATCCTACATGTATTATGACACGTAGAACAAATATGTATATTTATTTAATTTATACAAATTTAAATATAATCACACACATCCAAAATTTTAAAAATGTAAATATAAGGTAAAGCCTAATTAAACAACACATTAATGTGTTTTTAGAATTTACTTGAAAAAAGAAATAACACTATGTATTGTGTGTGAGCATGAAAAGCTTAAAAAATACAAAGAAATGAGCTTATATAGAAATGAAAATAACAAAAATATAACATTTGCATTGCATGATAAATAAATGAAGCCTATTTTCGTAACAAAATTTTTTTAAAAAAGGAATATTATTTAAAAACTAGCCACATGCAAACTTTTCGATTAAGATACTATTTTCGATTTCTAATAAAGCGTTTCATTTTATAAAGAGAAAAAGACAAAGAATTAACATTAGATGTTAGTGTTAATAATTTAATTAAGCATGCATATTAGTACTTTAGATTATGAAACTATAGTGTATGTGGCAAACAGATTAGTGGATATTCACTATAGTTCATTAGGACTCTAATTATTCCTTTTACATGAAAATTCAAAGTTTTCTACATGCTATGTATCCTTAATTTTCTATTATTTTTGTCTTTTTATTGCATTAGTTAAGCCGACAACATTGTCTTTTAATCTTATCATTTAGTCTAATGAAATCATTTTTAATAATAATTAATATACTCACCCGGTCCCATATTCTCTAAGAGGACGTGGCGAGAATATAATTAAATTTTTATTAACAAAGTAAAAATTCAAATAGTCGAACTAATATGCTCTCATCATCGAGAGAAAATTAGATAACTAACTGTCTGAGTCACTATAATTTTTCTTTCAATATGTTTGTTATTTCGCGAAATCGAGATAAAATTAATTATATTTATCTTATTTTATCTATAATATTAAATATTTAAAATAAATTAGATAGAGTTAAATAATAAAATTATTTTTTATTTATGATATTTCAAAGAACACATAAAAGAAATATGCTAATTAATATGAGAAGAAGTAAAGATTAATTAAAATCTAATAAAATTCTACATAGAGCTAATAGCTCAATTATTTTATGTTGAACAAACTTATTATCGTAATTAATGACGTAACATGATTAAAAAATTGGGTCAATGATATTATTTGATCAACTTTTTGTCATCATGTGATTATATTTTTCTTTGGTCGTTACTCCTCCTAATCTAATTTAATTAATAACAATATTATCCACTCTTTTTTTTCTTTTTCTTTTTTCTTACAACTTGTTATGCTACTATTTTAAAAGAAGTTTCTCGATAATAAGAATTAAGATGACCATAAATTTATTATTATGGCAATAGATTATGCCACGTGTTTGAAGTTGGTCTTCAAGTATATGGAAATAAAATCTCACCAAAAACAATAGAAAATTTTCTAGTTTTTCGTTTTGAAAACACTATATTTTATCTTTTCTCACAAATCTAACAAAAATATTATGGGAACTTTTAATGGAGAATAGTTTTTTCTAAAGAAATGATACATAAATATGTTGTGGAATAAAGTGTCTTAAAAAAAATGTTTATATTTAAATAATTATAATTTATATTTTTTAATCACGAAATTTTATTTTATATAAGATACGTCATACGTCATAAATGAATTTATTATTATTTTGACTGTTAAAAATAAGGGTAAAATAGAACCAAAAGGTTAACATCAATGATATTTTAAGCCCAAAAGGTAAAAAAAAATAATTTTGTACCAATTCGCATAGTTAAAGAATATTTTAGATAAATAAATAGATTAGAACAATATTTACCCTTGTACTTTTAGAAAAGAAGGTCATTTTTTTTAATAATTATTCCTTCCATCCGACTTTAATTTCATATTTACCCTTAAACACATGTAGCGCCTACGTGGAATGCCTACACGGTTATATTTACTTTTTGTATTTTAAAATTTCTTCTAATTTAATGATTATACGCATTCAATTTAACCCATAAAAGTCAATTCCTAATAGTTATTTAGTAATTCTTGTTGCAACTTGGATATACAAATGGAATATGTCCTTCCTATCACCATTATCATGAACTCGAAAAAGAGGAAAACACAAGAGTGATAAATCAAGTAAAACTGAAGCATTTTTTACTCTCTCAAACAAATAACAAATGTGCCCTAAGATATAATAATTAAGTTAGAAGAAAATTTTAAATAATAAAATATATATATATATATATTTCCGTGTAGGTGTGCCACATAAGCGCCACATATGATACTAAAAGTAAAGATATGGGACTTAACTGTTCAAAGGATAAATATATACCTAAAGCTCGATGGGAGGGATAAATATATCTAAAAGAATATGACGAATGACAAATATAACCATTTTCTAAAAGTACAAGGATAAATATAACTCTTTTTCGATAAATAAATCATCTTATGAAATAGTAATTTATCGAATTATTATTAAATTCATGTGTTAATCATTATAAAATGATTAATATTACAACTCTTATAAAAAAAAAGTTCCAATATCTTTTGTTCGCATAAATTGTTAAATTTGTACAAAATTGAATAAATAAATATATATTCGCACCATGGCGTCTTACGTGTATGATGTAATGTAAGACTTGTGTTTATTTGTTCAATTTTATACAAATTTAAGTATTTACTTATACACACCTTATCACCTAAAATTGAAAAACATAAATAATAACTAAACCCAAGTTTTTTCTTTAAAAAAAAAAATACATATTTTTGTATTATGCATTTTTTCCAATCGTGATTGTTTTCATATTTAAAAATATACTCTTTCCGTTTAAAAAAGAATAATCCTATTTTTTTTAGTTAAATTTTTCTAAAAAATGACTCATTTCCTTTTTTTGGCAATACTATAACTTTAACTTTACACGTGACATGTTTAAGATCACACGATTAAAGAACATTTTGATACAAATTACAAAAATAAATTATTATTTTTTTCTGAAACTCCGTTTCAAGTCAAACTAATTCATACCTTTTGTAAACCAGAAGGGAATATGACAGTTGCTGCAAGTGCCAATAATATCTAATCTGATTGCCGATATTTGTGGAATGAAAGATCTTTTCCACCAAAAAAGTTAACTTCACAATATTATCATCATTCATATCACCATATCCAAAATTCCTTTATCTTAAACAACATTTGTATCTCAAAGCAAGTAGAGGAACACTTTCTGTATTATATTCACTCTGTTTTGGAGCAATGGAGAGTCAAATTGTTCGACGAAGAGTTAACATGATTACTGCTCATTTAACTGCACATGATGATATTTCCGCCTCCGCTACTCATCTCTTTCCTATGGTAATCTCTTTCTCTGTCTCTACTCATAGTAATGTTAGCAGGGACGGAGTTACAGGTTCGATAGAACTAGTAGCTTTCGCCAGCATTTCGTATTTATGTTTAAAAAATTATGAATAGTATAATTTATTTGAAGTAAAGTCAAAGGTGTCTTTACGAGAATCCAGAACCTCTGAATGGTAGGACTTGTCACGAGCTAATTTGAAAATAAAGTAATCTACTCATAGCCCTTTGGTTAAAGTCATACCACTATTCATTTCCCCTGTTTCTTTTAACTATATATCTATTGATGTGCTTCTATTTGATTTTTCACTTTGTTTACTGTATAGAGCTGTAGCAGTAGCTTGAATTCTGCTATTCCGAGGAGGTACGATAACAGAATGAACTATGCAAGACAAAGTTCCAGTTCTCAAGCTTGTTTCATGAGGACAAGTGAACAGGTCTGGGAATTATTACTAATATAATTGACATTACTTTAGTTTCAATGAGTTTGTAATATTCGTTCTGCAGGTGTTAGCTTTTTTCATTTTTTTTTCTTGCTTTGGGAGCAGGGAAGCTGTACTGAATCCACTGCGGCTTTCAAGGCTAGTGATTATGCAAAGAAGAGTTCTCGCGCCTTTGAAGGACCAATGTTTTCTAGACCTGCAAATAATTGCAAACACAATGGAACTGTTGAAGAAGCTCCTAAATTTGCTAGGCCTCGTTTCCAATTGAAAGAAAGAAGAAATGAACTTGAATCTAATGGTAAACAAACCTATGCTTTACTTTTGATTGTTATATCGCGTAATTGAGAGGTACGTCCTCTTTGGAATGTTGAAACATTTCCTTTTGTTTTTGCTAATGCAGGGAGTGAATGGTCTCCTAAGATGGATGTTGCAGAATCTGGAAGCATGTACGTCGTATCTATAGAACTTCCCGGTGTCAATATAAATGATATAAAGGTCGAAGTCAGCCACAAAAGGTAAATAAATGACAACTATCCATTAGTCTTTCTTTGATTTCTCGTATAGTCACTATTATCTCAGAATGTCAATTTCTTTGTGAGATCAGCATGTGTTATAAAGTTCCATCTTCTGCAAAGATGAATTCAATTTGCGTTGATCTAATAGACGCGTGTTATGTTCCTTGACAGCTTAATAGTTTCTGGAAATCGTTCCACTCAGTGTAAAGTGGCATCATACTTGAATGGCTTGGTATCAGCCTATCATAAAAAGGAGATTGTTCAGGGACCATACCGTGTTTTCTGGCCTCTTCCAAGTAATGCTAATAAAAATCGCGTCTCAGCTGAGTTTGTGTAAGTTATCAATATTTGTGATTGTTTACCTATATATCGCCATGCTTAATGTTTTTAGTCGAGAAAAAACACTTCGTTACATATAGACTTGTGAAATTTCATGACTCTAAAACAATGCAGGGACGGACTTTTACAGATTACAATCCCGAAACTTTGAGAAACATGGCAAAGACAGATATATACGTATAGAATATATACTCGAAGCAGGATAAGCAACAGAAGTTACCATACAACATGAACCACTTATAAGTAATCGCACGCTATTTACTGAACCAGTGTAAATTGTCATTTTTTATGAGCTATACTTGTAATGCTACATTAGTAGGTATATACATAAATGTTCATGTCATGTGTGTTTAAGTTATATATATATGGGGAATAGGTTCAAATTTATATTTGATAAATTTGAACTATGTGAAATGATCAACCTTCTTCGAACTCTCCAAAATGTTGTTACATTCGTGTCAGATTCTCCAAAAGGCACTACTTTTGGAGTATGTCACGTAACCTGTTGATATTTTTGAAGAGTCAGAGCAACATAGCCTTGCCTCGCTTGTTTATCACCAGAAAGAGCCACGTAGACGAATAATACTAAACCTTTACTTGAACAACGCCTGTTTTTGTCATTAATAGTATAGAGGTCATTCTCTTGGATGGCTTTTCCATTTATAACGTTGGTCCACTCTAAAACAGATTACTATAAATGAAGAAAACTTCAACATAATCTCATCACTGAAAGACTCTCCATGAATGCGTCAAATCTATTGTTGATCAGTGCAACAACAACACTAGCAATTATCTCAACAGAATTAGCCTTCAACGACGAAAATGTGTTAAAACAGGCATGCTAATGAAATATGTTAAATCCACACAACAAACTAAAATACTAATAAGAGGCCTTGCTTTTGCCAACGGTGTAGCATTAGTCAAAAACAAATCCTTCAGGCAGAGACAAAAATACATTAGGTGATTTTTTTCATCGATTTTAGCCTTGATGGTTAGAGTTATTTAATATCTATTTCAGTGCATAATTCAAATTTAATCGAGACTCTAATATAAGTTCTGAACATCAAATTCCGATTGGTTTATTATCCTTTTCAAGACATATGATGTATCTTCCAATAATTAGTTGTTATTTCTGATTAATAAGGAATATAAATGTGTGAAGTCAACTTCCAGGAATTTAAGGTGTCATTAAATAAATCTTTTAATTAAAACAATAGGCTTAATTTGCCAACTAATATTTCCATTAGACCATTACTATGAAGTCAACTCTTATAAAATGAATTATTTATTGTTAGTTTACAAATTATTTATTTCTACTTTTTAATTTAAAGAAAGGTCTCAGTAATATAAGGGGATTTTTTGCCGACAAGTTTAAATTTTTAAAATTAAAGTCCTCATATTTTCTGACAGTGATCCAATGACACCGCTTGATTAGATTCCTAATGCAATAATTTAGAGAAGAAAATATTATTTATTCAAATTAAAAAATAATAATAAAAAAGATATAAAATTAATTCATAAATATTATGAGTAAAATATGAAAAAATTAATTCTATTTTCTTAATATGAAATATAAAAATAAAGATTCTTTTTTAAAATGATAGATAAGTAAAAATGAAACGAAGAATACTCATGAAAAGTACTAGGACATAATATCATCACCTACTTTCGTTTATTTTTATTTGTCTAATATTTCAAAAATTGATTTTCACTTTCAGTTTTAACATATTAAGAAAAAGTAGTTGTTCTTTTCCATATTTTATGATTAGCATTAATTAATTATTATTTTCAAAATCTAATACGAATACTAAACATCAACTAATAAAAATAGCACAACAAACTAATTATTTTATTAGCTGTCATATCAAATCCAAATATAACAAATAAAATATTAAATAATAATTTTCTTAAATATATTTGACAAAATAAAAACCGTCAATTTAAATTCCCCTTATATATAAATCTCATGATTATGAACATGTAAATAAAAAAGAAAAATAAACCGCCAATTTAAGTCCGAATATTCAGCAATTAATGAACGTGGTCATTAAAATAATAAAATCTCTATTTTTAACATTTTCATTTTTTTCCCCCCTTCTTCTCATCACAATTAAATTAAATAAATAACTCATTAAATTATTAATTAATTTTATCACAAATCTCACCCCCTTTAAATCCTCCTTCACCTACATTATACCTTACAACACAACTATCCTTTTTTCCCTTTTCTTTTTTTTTTCTTTCTTTCTCCATATACCATGAAAAATTCTCTAATAATTTTTCATAATTGCTTCTTCAAATTACTAGTAATTATAATCAACATTATTTTGTTCATCAATAATAATGTTGATTTTCTAGTAGAAGCAAAACAAAACAAGCTACTACATCCTCCCTTCAAAAAAAAGGGTGCAAATTGTGATTTATATGATGGAAAATGGGTTATTGATTATAATTATCCACTTTATAATGCAAAAAATTGTCCATTTTTACTTCAACAATTTGATTGTGTAAAGAATGGTAGACCAGATAAAGCATATCTCAAGTATAGATGGCAACCCACAGATTGTAACTTAGCCAGGTAATGAATTACATCTATCTATCTTTTTTATCGTGTTTTTCTTGCTGTCTTTCGAAAACGTCTATTTACCTCTATGAAGTAATGGTTAAATCTATATATGTTTTATCTTTTTTGTATGGTACTTAATGAAATAATACTGAATATGTTAGTATTATTCGTATAAATAATAGATAAAAAAATAAATAGATAGAGAAATTTTGAACGAATTGTTTCATCTTGTATGTATCGAAAGTTGATTGATGACAAGTGGCTGATAAAAGTTACTTATATTTAAAAAGCCAATGCTTATGGTGAGGGTCGAGGCGGAGAAATTAGAAATTTCGTTAAAGAAAGTTTTAAGAATTAATATATACATAATTTTATATATATATATATATATATATATATATATATATATATATAATATATTTTTTTAACGAAAGATGATTAACTAACATTCTTTCGTTGTATATGGCTGAGTCACTAAACGAAGACCATATTTTATTGTGACATTTGAAAAATATGATTTTTACTTTAAAAATCGAAAATGATACTGAAAATGAAAGTTATGCATAATTACGGATACAAATTAGAGTTGTTTTTTTAAATTTTTTTTATGAGAGAAAAAAGTGAAAAATACTTTTTGTTATTTTCTAAAACTCTATTTTTTACATTCTAGTTGAATTCCATATGCTTATTGTCAAATGTGCTTTCCCAAGTTCAACTTTAGAGAAGAAAAAAATTGAAACAATTTCATAGACAAACAAATATTCGATTTCTCACTTTATAATATTCTTTTCGTTTAAAAAAAAAAATATTCTCCCCAATTCTTTAATCTCCTATCTAATATTTTTTTAAATAAATATAAAACAGATGAAAAAACTTGTCTCATCTATATCGTGCTTCGTAAATATTCGATTATCTAGGTGAACATGTTTTGCTTGATAATTGAATTATTTGTTTTCGCGCATTCTGTTTTTTGCCATTTACGTTGTTGAGTCCTCTCTACAAACCAAAATGTTACTTTCTACTTATCGTCTCAACTTATATCATAATTCAAAATTTATCGTGACTTATAATATTTTTATGTAATTTTAAATATATAAATTATTTTTTAATTTCTTAAAAATTATATGACCAAATGAATGGTCAAAATGAAAATTAGTAATTTAAATGATATCATACAAATTGAAATGAAAAAAATAATTAAGATTTCTTGATGAATTACTAATCAATTAAGGAATTTTTCTAATAGTAAATAATTTCACGAGATCACGAATTGATGCAATTAATATCCAAAATAGGTGGGAATACTGCATTTGTAGATTAGTAATTTATGAAGAAAATAATTAAGATTCCTTGATAAATTACTAATCTACAAATAAAATATTCTCGCCTATGTTAAATATTAATTGCATCAATTTGTAACCTTGTGAAATTATTTATTGTTAGAAATTTAAGGCATTTATGATATAAACTTGTTTTTCACGTGTTATACAACTTGTAACTAACAATAGACAAATTTTATATATATATATATATATATATATATATATATATATGTTAATAGTGTTTTATTTGTAAAGTTTTTATCAAAAAATATTTTAGAAAATAAAAAATCAAGTCTTTCAAACTAACTAGTTTTTTGTGGGATGAATGGTAGAATGATCAATATTTTTCCTTTAAATTTTATGTTGACTATTATGTATTTTTGTAAGTATTCACCGAAGTATGTGATTCATAAATATATTTTTGTAAGGTATTCACCGAAGTGTCTGATTCATAAATATATTTAGTAAGTATTTCTACGTATTAATGTCGTGTTCATAGACGTCAACGTTTGATACTCTTAGATACTCTTTCTAAGGGAGTAACATTGTTATTTTTTGGTTGAAGGGCCAACTCGTGGCCCACTCAGGTCTGGACTGAGCTGCTATTTTATAGGCCCTTTAATTAAAGGATTAATGACAAAAATCCCACATTTAAGTTCTCTTATTACCATTATCCTCTATTAATTTACAATTTCCCAAAATTCCTCATTTTCATGCATCAGATCAATGTATCAGTGTATCAAATTAATGTATCTCTCGCATCAAATTAGTGTATCATGTATAAAATGTATATCATATTAGTGTATCATGTATAAAATGTAATGTATCTTACTTAATGATTAATGTATCTCGCTCATCAGATTAATGTATCAACGCTCATATTATTGTATCAGTTGGAGGGATTTTTGTAATTATAAACTTATAAGCGACAAATGGTAATGTTACCTTAAAAGTATGTGATTTCTGTCATTTGCCCTTAATTTTGATTAAAAGGGTCAGCCCATCCAACGCGTTTAACTCTGTAGCCCGTTAGGGTTGGATCGGATACTCAGCCTATTTTAATAGCTCTAATGATTATAAATATTTTCAAACGAGTGACCAAACACATAACTATTTCCCTCTTTATTTTGTTATGTCTTTCCATGAAACATTAGTAAAAATACTTTCTTAATATTTGTGTACTGTCTAACGACTATAAATATTTTCGACAAGTGATCATTTACGTAACTATTTCCCTCTTTATTTTGTTATATGTCTTTCCATGATATGTATACTGACTAACGACTATAAATATTTTCTGCGAACGACCAAATACGTAACTATTTCCCTCTTTATTTTTTTCTTATATATGTCTATCCATGTAAAAATAGTTTTTAAATTCTTGAGTTTAATTTTTGTATATACACATATAGGTGGGATGGAAGTGACTTCATGAGAAGAATTAAAAACAAGAAGGTATTATTCGTGGGAGATTCATTGAGCTTGAATCAATGGCAATCTTTGGCTTGCATGCTTCATTCTGCCTTTCCAAGTCTTAATTACTCTGTCACCAGAAATGGACCACTCATGTCAACCTTTTCTATACCCGTAAGTGAATCGAGGTGAATTCAGAATTTAAATTTAATGAATTCGTATGATTTGTGAAGGGTATATTATGCATCTTCGTTGTTTTTATTTTTTAAAATTTGAATTTGATGCACTTAAATCGAATATCTATTGAAAATAGGAGGCAGTAATAACTGATAATGTACAAATATACTTTACCTTTCTAAATCTCATCTAGTGACATTTTGCTGAATACGTTATTGTTAATATATAGTATAATTATTTCTTTAATTCATTTTTATTTGTGCGTATTGATTTGAGATAGCTCTCAAGGTGCAATATATTGAATATATATAGTAGACTCAATATTTTGACAAATGATGATAGTTATTAATAAATGATAAATTAACTAGAAATAAGTGATATAAATTATTACAAACTTAACCTCTAATATGGGTAATTAAAAGGGTTGACACATAATAATTGGATAAATTGTGAAGATTTCTTCTTTTTTTAAAAAAATAAAAAAAATAAAAAATTTCCCATGTTTTTGGGGGAATTGCATTTATGAGAGAAAGGGACTTGACCTTACCTCATAAAGCACAACACAAGATAAAAATTGTGAATATTAATTGGGGGAGTTGTATTAAGTTATTGAAATAATAATTTTGTAACACTTTAGAATTTTTTATTATTTATATTATTAGGTTATCAGTTTGGAAGTATAGAGAAATAAAAAATATATATTTCAATTAATCAAATGTAATTATGTATCATACGGATCAACATCGATATTTATTTATATTTCAAGAATTGATAATATAAAATCTCAAGATATACACACATAACTGATCAGGACCAAAAATACTAGATTCAACTGAACTTATTAACTAAAACTAATTTATCTATCCTCTTTTATGCTTAATTTCTCACATTTGTCTTTCAATATAATATTGTTAATGTCAAATTGATAATAATCTCTCTAATAATGTTTTTTTTAAAGAAATTACATTGTTGAATTTATGTAGTCAAAGCAAGTGAGATTGAGTTATGTGAGAAATGCATTGCTAGTAGACATAGTGAAGGAGAAATCAAAAAGAGTATTAAAGTTGGACTCAGTTGCAATTTCTTCAAAGCTGTGGACTGGTTATGACATTTTGATATTTGATACTTGGCATTGGTGGATTCATACGGGAAGAAAACAACCGTAAGTTTTAATTTTTATGAAAAAATATTAGAGATTTTGATGTCTAAATTGAGAACAACATATTATCGTGAGAGTGTCGAGAAGGTAGAATGTATGTAGAGAAAATTGATGGACATGGTGGGTCTAAATATAGGGAGAAAATCGTTTTTGTTTGACAAATATTTTTTTAAAATTGAAACCGATGGATGTATGTCATAATTCATATCGAAATTTATATGATTGACCTCCTGATGGTCTTTCAGAAACAATATATTTGCCTGTACGAGGTAATGATAAGCTCATCATAAACTCTATCCTTTTTAGACCCTTACTTAGTTCAATTTCACTGTTTATGTTATTGTTGTAGACCCTAGTTTATATTCTGTACAAAATAAATATCAACTAAATTGACACTAATTTTACAGATGGGATTTGATTCGCGATGGGAAAATCCTACGTCGAGATATGGATCGTTTAAAAGCTTATGAAAAAGCCTTAATAACATGGGGTAAATGGATTTCCAACAACATTAATTTCAAGAAAACTAAGGTCTTTTTTCAAGGCATCTCACCTGATCATAGCAAGTAAGATTTCAAATATTTCAAACTTTCGTGTCTGATCAAATAATGTCATATGAATTAACATTTTATTTTTTTACAGTGGCACTCAATGGGGTAAAAAATCCAACCAAATGCAATGCAAAGGTGAACAAAATCCAGTAAAAAAACTGAGTTACTCAGGAGGTGAAGATGAAGCAGATATATTATTGGGGAAAATATTGAGCAAAACAAAAAAGCCAATACATATGTTGAAACTCAACAAAATGTCACAATATAGAGTTGATGGTCATCCTTCTATTTATGGTAACCCTAGATATAAAGGAATGGATTGTACACATTGGTGTTTACCTGGTGTACCTGATATTTGGAATCAACTTCTTTATGCTAATCTCATTTAAATTAACAAAATAAACAAAAGCATTATCATATCACCAAACATTTGAAAGAAATGACAAAATTATATATCACAAATATTTGTTACTACTACTCAAGTTGGGAAATATTTTATTTTATATGGTACATCGATCTGATAATACTTAAAAATTTACATTTCATAAACTCGCAAAAAAGGCATCACAACAGAACCAATCCATAACTTCCCATCTTTTTCTTCAATTTCACTTATAGACCTTAATGTCTTGCCTTCAACATCTTCTAGAACTTCCAAAACTTGCCCGTCCTCACTTAGCTTGAGGGCGGTAGGGTGTAGCTCCCCGTCATCTCCCATTTGCTGAGGGTTGAAACTAAACATTCCAAATTTCGAATCTGAAACACTGGGTACTGATCTTATTGCTTGTAACGCGACCCAAAAGTCCCCTTTAGGGTTTATTCTGATGTTGTCCGGGAACCCGGGCAACTCAACAAATACATCATGTGTTCCTACTAAGGGGCCTTTAAGCCAATACCTTAAAATTCTAAAATTTGTAGTTTCAGTCACTAAAACAAACGATTTGTTTTTACTCAACGCAACGCCATTTGCAAAAGCAAGATCACCTAATAAGACTGTTACTTTTTTCGTAGATTTATCATATTTCATCAACCTACCAGTCGTATCACCACTTGAAAACGACGTTAGAAACTGCCAGCGTTGATACTTGGTGCTTGTATCCGTGAAATAAATCACATCATCGTCAATGTCAACGTCATTTGTGAAAACAAGAGGTTTACCTTCGAATTTTTGAACTAATGGAGTTGCTAGTCCACCTTTGGGTCCAACAACTTGTAGACCTAAATACGCGTCTGCAATGTATAATTCACCTGTTTTTGTATCGAATCGTAAGCCTAATGGCCTACCACATATATGTTCCATTTTAGGAGCGAATGGTGAGGTACAATCCCTTCGATGAGAAGAAGTGACCGCGAATTCAGCCCAAAATAATCGATTATTTGACCCTAATTGCAACTTGAGAATGCGTCCATCGGCTACTCCTATGTATGGACCTTCGCCATTTGGATCGAACGCAACACTCTCCGGTCCAATCGACCCATTAAGATGGATAATTTTCGATTTTGAGAGAACGTTTTGAGTTTTCTCAAAGGCTAAATTTACTGAAACAAGTTGTACAACGATAATCAACAATAGTATATTTGAAGCATTCATGGATGGAAGAATGTCTTTTTTTTTAATTTTTTTTTGTGTGTATGTGATGATATATGTCCAATATTTCTTCTTTTTATAGGACATATATTTGTGTTTATAGGCTTATACGGACAGACATTTAAATGTGGACAAAGTCATACACAGAGAGTAAACCGTAGACAATTTAATTAATGTTAAGATGTCCCACGCGAGAAGAAGAAAGAGAATTTAACCTCTTTAAATAGACTTTGACAAACGGTCTCTCATTAGCTAGTTTTTAGGGTTGAGTTAGGTCACATGTCATATCTTGACATGATATCAGAGTCAAACTCATCCCAATTTATTGTTCATCGATAATGGATCCCCGTTTAGAAGTGTTCACGCTCCAATTGAGGTTTGGGCATGCCCACACCAGCAGTGGCGGATTCAGAATATAAAGGTTGTGGATGCTCACTTCCAAGTGTAAAATTCGATGGAAAAAATTTTAAAAAAGAAATGCTACTGGCGCGATTCAAACCGCCGCCAATGGCTTCGCGCACCTCTTATTGCAGAGGTTTAAACCAGCTCACGCACAACTACTTTTGTTCTATGAATGCTCATTTAAATTATAATAACATATGTATCATATTATATATATATATATATATATATATATATATATAAAATTTCGGAAATTAATGGGTGTTCGAGCACTCACGTCTGACTTATTGGGTCTGCCCCTGCACACCAGTCGAGGAATGAGAATAATTTGTTCTTGTTATATGCCCAAGTGTCATATCTTAAAAATTACCCCCTCTGTTTCAAAAAAGAGTAGTCCAGTTTGACTTGACACAAAGTTTAAGAAAATAAAGAAGACGTTTGAATCTTGTGGTACTTTAAAATTACTAAACATATCACGTAAAAGTTGAAGTAATTAAAGTGTTATCAAAGAAGAAAATGATTTATTCTTTTTTAAAAAATAAAAAATAAAAAATTGAATCAATTCTTTTTGAAATGGAGAAAATATTAATGGGGTCAGAAGGCAAGTGGCGTTATATAAAATAATTGGTCAGATCGATTGAAAATTACTTGAATGCAAAAGAATAAACAAGTAGGGTTACTTTGTTCATAGTTAGGTATGATTACTATTATTCGTTATCTACGATTTGAAGACGAGCATTTATAGTTTTTCGGTGGGATTTTTTCGAAGTTATCTACGGAACGTATATTTTATCCTCCTTAAATTTTATTTGTAGAATTTCATGAATAGATTATACTGAATATAAAATTGGATTAGTTAGACTCGATTTCATTTTTTTTTCTATTTCGGTTCTTTAGTATGATAGTATGAGCTGATTAATGAGTTATTTTTCTAAAATTCAAAAGGGCTATTTTTTAATTTTTTATTTTCGAATAAAACTTTAAAATGTGACTTATTCAATTGTGAGATTTTACTGGATATGTTATTGATGTTGTTATTTTTGTTAGTATGTACAGAATATCAAGCCGAATTAATTTGACTTGATCCATTTTTTTCTAATTCGATTCTTTGGTATAAGCTTGATTAATGGGTTATTTTTCTGCTCGTAAAATGAATTATTTTTAAAAAATTTATAAGGGCTATTTTTTTTTCTGAATAAACTATAAAATACAAGTTTGATATTTTCTATTTACTTTTTTTTTTAATTCGATATTTTTTAAGTCCTCAAATTAACAGACTTATTCAAACTGGATTAAATTTTTTATTTTTAAAATGGGCTCCAAAAATCTTAATATAACCCTAATAAATTTCGAGTTATGCCAAATCGACCCAACGTGCCCGGCAAATGCGGTTGTAATTGACCTATTTATTGGTAGGCCAAAGGTAACTATTTGAACTGTATTGTAATTATTTTATGGTAGGCCAAAGGGTAGCTATTTTGAACTGTATTGCCATAATTAGTCATGGGTTATAATGATGAGAGAAAGGGTGTCATTTATTTATCGATTTTATTATTTAGATCTGATATATTTTTTCATTTCTTATTATAAAAGTGATTTATATATGTTTTTATCATTATAAAAATGATTCATATATTATTTTTATCGTTCCAAAAGTGAAAAAAATACCTATAAATTAATTGTTTTAGCTTTTAGTTTTTCTTTTCTAAAAGAAAATCTTGATTTTGATCTTTTCACACATAATTTAATTTTTTATTATTATTTGAGTTTTCTTAAATTTGTTTTTCTTTCCTTGTCTAGTGTAAAAATAACAGAAATAAAAAGAAAGAAATGTGTAATGGAAAAATATCTAAAAGTTAAAAAAATATTTTTTTTGCCTTAATATTGTAAGTTAATTTTATATTTTTAAAAAATAATATTTGACGCATTTATAATAATTTTATAAGAAAATAAATGAAAAAAATAAATTTAACCATCAAAATAATAAATTAAAGTAATCAATGAATAAAAACGGCGAAAAGAAAAAAAATTGCGTGAGAAGTACCCCTACATTGATTATCTTTTTTAATTAAAGATATTTAAAATTATTTTTTTCACTTCCTTTAGAACGAAAGAGTTGTGTGAGTCATTTGTATGGTAATATGAGTATATATATGAACTACTATCATAACGATGAGGATATCAACTCTAAAAAGCAAAGTTACGACGTATCAAATTTTTTCCCCTATAATAAGTAATAAAGGTAGTAGTAAAAATATACGAAGATTATTATTTTTGCGAGTTTTATATTTTAACTATTAGATATTGATATTTTCTAATAAATTATCACCAACTATTTAACAATATGCTAACGGAGACAATTAGTGTAGTTGTAGTCAATAGCTAGCGGATTTAAGATTTTCACTATGAATGTTCGAAAAATAAAAATATAATATTTAAAATTTGAACTTGAAACCTCAAAGTAAATTGCAAAATGTCTGAACCACTAAGTCAATATCTAACTTATGTTCAAGAAATTAAAAATCTATATATACATAATTACATATACGCATGAAATTTTAAAAAATATCTTACATATGGTATAACTTTTTATCGAGGGAGTTCGAATGAACCCCTCACGATCCTCTACATCCACACTTGGGCTTAGCAGTGATTTTATCAACAAACGCTCTCTCTGTTCAATTTGTTTATCCTACTTTAGAAGTATATTTTTTTTACTTAAATTTTGTATGAAACAGAAAGAAATACTCTTTCCGTTTTAAAATGAATGTCCATATTTCCTTTTTAGTTTATTTAAAAAAGAATGACCCTTTTTCTTTTTTGGCAATACATTAACTTGAACTTTCTACATGACATGTTTAAGACTACAAGATTAAAGGGCATTTTGGTACATTTGACATAACTTTAATTTAGAATCACAAGATTAAAAAGTCTTCTTTAATTTTTTAAACTCCGTTCGAAATCAAACTAGATAATTTTTTTTAAACGGAAGAAATAATAAATTTGAAGCATTAGTTCATAGAGCATAGGTGTTTAATTTTCCAGTGATGAGAATTATGTCCTAAGTTATATTTTTTTAGGAGCTAATTGTACGCATCAAGTTGATTTGACTTTTAATCATATTGGACCTTAAAGTTATATAGTAATATCCTACGTACAATATATATATATATACAGATTTAGTACTGGACAAGTTAGTAATTATTGTCAGAAGGTAAGCAAGTGGTATTTAATTAGTCTATCCAAAAATTAAATGCATCCATATTGAAGATAAAACAAGTTAGTAAAAAGAAAAATTATTGTAATATGTTGTTATATCTAGGATTAGAGAATATAAATATAACAAATCGAAATTTTATGTGATTGATTATTTGAAAAATAGAGAATTTTTTAATTTTTAGATTCAATGGGCGAAAGAATATCATATGAAATTTATGAAAGTCCTTAGTTTGAATCCTTGAATCAGGGTTTAAAGTTGAGAAACTCTGGCTTTTTGTTTGAAAGAACTAAGATTGATTCTAGTTGTCTAGGTCTTCCTAAATTTTCCTTAATTTAATTGAGAATAGGTTAA